TATTTTTAAATTACTGAATTCTGTCATTCATGTCTTATTTTAAAAGTAAAAGAGCTATTAATTTATTCATATTATTTTAAATAAAATAATATTCTTAAGTTTCTTAAGTATAACTTTCAAAAAGGGGGAAATGAATTGAAGAGATAATTAAATAAATATAAATAAAGTGTACAAATTAAAAGTTTATTGTGTATTGCTTCTCTTTCTTTCCTACACTATCATCACTATATTTTGTTGGTATTATTAAAAAATGAAATAATAATAAAAATTGTCCTCTCAATTTATTTATATTTAATAGTATTTAATATTTAAAATTAAATTTGAGAAAAATTCTATTTTTTTAAATTTAGATATAGTTATAGATTATTATTATATAATTAAAAATTCATATAACGGTGTAAATCTTGGGAAGTTTCTCTTTATGCGTGCCGTCCATGTGTCCGCACACGCCGGTCACATGACCTTGCAAAGTGGTATCCAGCATCACAGACACGCTGTCGGAGGTCCACATTATCAGTACTGGTACGCGTTGAGATTGGACCACAAGATGCCCATAATGCTCGGTGAGTCTGCAAGCGGAAGTTGTATTTATTTTAACATGATTTTTCTTAAATTCTATATTAAATTCTAATTGATTAATTGTCGCACTTACTTTAACGCGTAAGACTTCGGTTCGTCTTTTGGTATTACAACTCCCTTCTCATGCTGGTTGATTACATTGCCATCAATCATAACGACGGTATCGAACTCATTTGGTACAATCTCCATTTCATGATCGGCAACATATATCTTTATGGCTAATTTAGTACCTTGCACGGATTTTACGAAAACAGCATATGTCCAGTCAATATGGTCAGCGGATACAAGAGTCCATTTATCGAAAACTACAAATGGAATCACACCCTCGTCCAAGGTGATTAATGCTTGTGGATAAACAGTGCAGATCTCTGCAAGAAAAAGATAATTCAATAAAATTGTTGCTTCAATTTTCCGTACAGAAATTTAATACTAGAAGATATAATATATAATCTTTTCTAATATTCTTCATAAGTAAATTCTGAAATATTCTAATGTCCAATTTCTTCACCTCTGGATAATTTTATCCAAGAAATATCTCCTAGTGTACAATCTCCTGGGGATATCTCCTGAATAAGGTTATCCGCAACTTATCTGGCAGTGAAGAAATTGGGCATAAGTCTATAAGATTTCTCATTCTATAATTTCTAATACTATCTGAAAAATCTTAAGGTATTTTTCAGAAATCTTTGTAAATTTGAAATATGATAAATAAAGATAAATTCTTTAAAATATTATAAGATGAGAAATTTTTTTATTGGCAGAATCACATCATTTCATTTTTAACTAAAAATTTTACTATGATATTCACATAAGAAAAAAAATTTAGAGAAGAACGACTTACTAGTCTGGCCTTGCATCAGTTTATACACAGTATCTATGGAGAAACGAGTATTGTCCATGAGAGAGTGCCATTGTGGATGCGACACTGGTCTGTCCACAACTATGCCCTCGAAGAAATGTTGCTGCAAGGGAACTTGGACGTATTCGTATCCATTAACCGGAGTAATGATGGTTGTATTGACATGACTCAGATCGGAGGAGTATTCAATCATAATCTTTGCATTACCGCTTTCAACACGTTCCACGAAGTATCTTATGTATGATAAATACGATGCGCGAATGTGATCTTCAATCATAGCAAGATATGAGAGTATCTGTACAGGCATCTGAAAGAGAATCATATTTCTTTTCCTTGATTGAGAACATGTGATTGATGATATTGATTTTCAGTCTTTTCCATGTTTATGTTATTCACTATATATAATATTTATTAGCATATAACAAATTACTTTAAAAAATATTTAAGAGATGTTTAAAGAATTAGAGAACCAATTATAGATGTTTTACATAAAATCTTCTAAGTTCTTTATTATATTTTCAAATTATTAGAAGGAAATTGTGTTATGAGTAATTCATCTTCTCTTACCTTTTTGTACGTTATATTAATGGTATATTTCTTTAGAGTCGTGTAACGTAAGGTTTCACGAATGCAATTCATAGTTTTGGGAAAATAGCTTTGTTTGTTTTGGAATTGCAGATTTTGAGTGTCTTTAACGCAAGCACCATGCATATTATTGTGCGTCATTTGCCTCTTTTGTTCTTCTGTCATTTCGCCTTTGAGAGTCATCACAATCATCATATCGTCACGAACACACTTATCGTCATCTGTAAATCCTGCTGTAATGGAAATCTTGTTATTGGTCTCTTCTTTAGTAGTGTCGATCTTCAAGGGATTTGTTTCGATGATTGGATAGTTTTTCTGAGCGTCTAAGCAGATCTAAAAGTACAAGCAAAAAGTTCATTCATAATCGCTAGTGTTATTTTATTGAGTTTTTTATTTATTTGTACTTTCTAATAAATAAATCTATTTTAGAATTAAGATAATTAACTTAAGATAAGTTAGACATACCTTCAAATTCTTTTCCCCTGGAGTCTGTCTCATCATCTGAACTTTGAAATTATTCATCAGATGTCCCGGAGATAAATCAATGTTCACGTTCATGTCCCACGAACGAATGGATTCGTTTGTGGAAGCTGCTTTAGTATCGAGAGTAGCTCGTACATTGATCTTGTTGCTGCTAAGAGTGTAAATCTTTTCATGAACGTGATCAACATCCTCCACATTGATTCTTATGTTCAAATCGACCTGAAAAAAGAGAAGATAAAAATGTCGAATTTTTCTTTCAGATTTATTTTTGACTACTTTTCTTTCAAATCTGTATTTTTGACTGCTTACATGCGACGTAGGATAAATAATGCTGGGTTCCATTTTCAACAGTGTCCCACAGTTACCTATTTTCGGTAGAGCATTCTCATTCATCATTCTTTGACGAATACCCATGTAGTATTGAAGAAGTTTTGAATTCCTAACGAACAAATTGTAATATAATATTTTTTTTTATTTAAAAGTCGCATCGATAATCAAAACTCAGATTTAACTAATAAATTATGTTTTTTTAAAATATTTTTTCAAAAAAGGAATTGTTGCTATCAGCAGCAACAGGTATCGATTCAATTAGATTATTGCATCAACTCAATTAGATTATATTGCATTCTAATCTATTGTTTACCAAGTGTTCTTATGTTCTGCGGAGAATACACGCTGCCATTCCTCGGCATCAGTCATCTGAGTGATCTCATTTTCGCAATCGAAGACTGACATGCTGTATTTAAGACCTACGTCCTTAGAATCCATGGAGACGTGATGATTCTTCTTTTCGCCAGTAGTGACGACCATGTGATGAAGACAGTCAGCACAGCAGGTCTTGAGAACATCTTGCTCGTCTTCGGTGATGGTTACTAAGTTCTTCGAGTAGGATCGTATTCCGGTGATTGACTGTTGGGTGACAGGCAGTCTTGGCAAGGTGATTTTAAGACTTTTCGCCTCGTGATTGTAACCGATGCTCATTTGCAGGGGCAAGATAATGTCCTGGACTGTGGCGCGACGAACTGAGTGCCAAACGTCGACAATCGGATTGTAAATCGACATGACATATTCACCATGCCTCCAGATGCGAGTATCGACATCAAGCTTCAAGCTCATTGATGGCTTTTTTAGCTCGTTTTGAACGTTGTTGAACTTGAATGACCATAGCTGAGGACTCTTGGTATTGAAAACTCCCTGCAGACCCATGTCGGTGGGCACTTGCATCTCGTAAAGGGTGTCGTATAAGATTTCCTGGATATTGCCGACCACTGTTTGCTTCAATGTTTGATATGCGTCGTCGAACATATTTTTAAAGGTGTTCTGATCATAGTGATTGAAAAGGACAACAAGACCGTTCAGCGTGATGCAGATATCCAAGTGAACAGGTTTCTTCATTGGCATGTCCTGTGCGGCACGAATTAAGATGTTTTGCACATTCTTGTTGGTGAGGTTTTCTACGGAGGTGCCAATTAATTCCTTTTTGACCACCTTCATGATCTCATCCAAGCCATAGGAATTCCAATAGATCTGAAGAAAATTTGTATAAATCTAATATATGTTGTTCGCATATCATATTTTAAATTC